TTGACTTAATTATGAATTAAGGCCTAAAATTAGGATGAGCGCAAACAGTGAAAATGTTTTTTTCCCTCCCAGATCTGGCGCCCTAGGCGACCGCCTATGTCGCCTATGCCAAGAAGCGGCCCTGTACACCATGCTAAATATGTCTGCATAAAGCTGAGTTATGATCGGTCATAATAACACAGAATTTGGTGATGATTAAATAGTTTACAGTGAGATTTACTCCCATACTTTTGGCCATACTCATGCAGCCCTACAAATGAATTGAGATTTCCAGACAAATGTTCTTTAGCAAGTGTGCAGAGCAGTGTTGATTTAAAAAAGCAATTTGAAGGTTGGATATTTGTAAACCTTTTTTTGTGTATATATATATTCATAATTTAAGATGTAAATGAATTCCAGTTTATTTGTAGTACTTTCTATTTTTATTTTTGACATTTGGTGGCATCAATGTCTGCATTTGATACAGATAATGGAGCAGTTGCTTTAGGGCCACAGTGTAGGCCTATATCCCTTAAGGTCAAACAATGAGATCCTCGATCATGTTGATTCGGCCACAACAGAAAAAATAAAAATAAACTCTCGCTCTCTCCAGAGGGGCAGGTCAGCCAAAAAGGCCAAACGGGCCGTTGCCCTGGCAACATTAGCCCGTACCTGTGCACGTCCCTGCACCTATCAATCATCAAACCGTGGGGTCTTATTTCATTACGTGTTGATTTCTATCAACACGTAATGTTGTATCGATGTATATAGAGATGTACTACAGCAAAAGTATTCTCCGTCGGGACTTCCTGCAACAACACCACGCCGTTATCTTGATTCTGATTGGCCAGAAGACATTATCAAAGATGTTCTATTGAGAAGACGATCACTACCTGACAAAAGTTTTCAAAACCGTTTCTAGTCTTCGGTATTCTTGTTTTTGGCGTGAGAATAGTTTGGGCAGCGTGAGAGCGTGAGATTGAGAGTGAAAGCGTGTGTCACACGCCAGATGCGTGAGAGTTGGCAACCCTGTCTAAAATGGTCATACAACGGTGCCGACAATATTATCGTTTATCGCAATAATTTCCGGGAAAATGTATCCAACAAAATTAATTATCGTGAGAGGCTGGAGTAAGTCTGTAGATTTGTTTGTTTGTGCACACACAAACAAATCTACAGACTTACTCCAAAACATATATATTAATTAACACACTCTCACTCTCATATACTCTTTGACTCTATTTTGGCCTAGTAGAACAATAAGCAGCAGACTTTTACTTTTTATCATTTCTACTGGATCTTAGATCTGCGCATGCGCAATACGGGTCGGCAGTGGCGGCTCCGGAGTATTTCTGTTGGGTAATCTATGGTAGGGCTAACCCCAGTGGTGGGGCTCAAATCAGTATTTGCAATGTAATTACATACACGCTCCCCTTGACAGTGAAACTCCACGTGTGAGGTTTAGATTATTTCCCTGTCTCAATCCAAATGGAACTGTATGAAATAAAAAGGCACATTTGTCTTGTAGTAAATAAAAAGGGCGACCTGGAGCCAATCCTGCAATTTCCCCACAGATGAAAGAGTTGACATGCTGAAAACCCAACCCCTGCAGGGGGGTCTGGGGGGATTCTCCCCCAGGATATTTTTTGAAATACTAACATAAAATACACATTCTGGTACTCTCTTGAGAATAAAAATAAATACATCAGATTATTACACGACATATTTAAAAAAATGAATGCCATTTTAGTTTTGTGTTACTTTGTTCTGAAAGCTGAACCTTCTGCTCCTCACAGAGAGAAGAGGGAAGAGGCTGTGTGAATTACTTTACATTGTGGATAAGGGTGGATAGCCCCCATTGTTCTGTGTGTGATTGATTGATTGAAAAGTTTATTAACAGCTTGTATATTGGGTACAGTACAGTACAGCTCAAAACATACAATTGTTAAGGGGATGCAGACCAGAGAAAGACTTTCGTCTTGTTTACATCAGGGTCCCCCATTTCCAATTCATCATGTCATTTAAGACATATAAGACATATTTGACATACAGATGGCTTATTTACAATTTACATACAGGTGGTTTTTTACATACAGATTGCTTATTTACAATTTTCATTTTAGATTTTGTTCTAATACATCCTAACCGGACATTTAAGACATACCAAGTCTACAGATATACAGTTAGTAACAGAGTCTAAAATGCGAGTATATACATAGATGGGGGGGGGAAGCTGTCCATTGAACGACAGGTTGAGATTTGTACCATTACCGGGGCCAGTTTTGCAATGCTCTCCCCCGAAGGTGCTCTTTAAGAGAGGTTTTGAAGGTAAGTATAGTTTTACTTTCCTTTACAGTTGTGGGAAGAGCGTTCCACCTTGATGTGGCATAATTGCGAAACGTGTATTCCCCCTTTTTTGTGCAAAATCTGGGTTTCACATGATTTGTGGAGCTCCCTCTGGTGTTATGATCATGGTATTCCTTGACCTTTGGGAAGAATTTTGACATGTACATGGGTACCATAGAGGTGTAGTGGATCTTGTAGACCAGGCCCATTGCAAGTAGCTGTACTCTGTCGTCTACTCTAAGCCATCCTAGGTTGTCAAAGTGGGCAGAGGTGAGGTGGGTTCTAGATGAAAGGTCAAGCAGTAGTCTGACCAGTTTATTTTGCGATGTTTGAAGTTTTATTTGTAGCGCCTTGGAGGTGCTATGGTACCATGACGTGCAAGCATAGTCATAGTACCCTTGAATGAGTGCTCCTGCCAGAGTTTTCAGGGTGTTTTTGTTTACCAGAGAGGAGATCCGGTATAGGAATCTAGTTCTTTGATTTACTTTTTTTATTACATTGGATGCCATTTTGTCACAGGAGAGGTTTGCCTCAAGAATAGATCCTAGGTATGTAATTTCCTTCTTACTTGTGACAATAATGTCGCCCACTGCAACTGAGAAGTCGTCGGATTTGCTGAGATTATGTTTCGAACCGAAGAGAATGGACTCTGTTTTACCCAGGTGTAATGATAATTTATTATCGGCGAGCCAGGTGCAGATTCTGCCGAGCTCGGAGCTGAGGGTTTTTTCAACCTGCAACCTGTTCCTGTCAGAGACCAGCAGGGCTGAGTCGTCCACGAACAGGAACAAGTTGCAGTCACATGCTGATGACATGTCATTTACATAAATTAGGAACAGTAACGGACCTAATATGCTTCCTTGTGGAACACCACAGCTCACTGGGAGGGGGGGGGGGGGGGGGGGGGGGGGGGGGACAGAGTACCGTTTACCTCCACCATCTGTTCTCTCCCCTCCAGGTAGGATTGCATCCAGCTCACCGATAGTTTATCAAAACCAATTGCTTTTAGCTTGTCAATCAGAATGGGGTGATTGACAGTGTCGAAAGCCTTTTGTAGGTCCAGCATCACCATGCCGCAGTACAGTGTCAAAATGAAAGACAGCCCACACACCTATCAATCATCAAACCGTGGAGTCACTACCGTGACTCAAACCGTGGAGTCACTTTCATTAAGTGTTGATTTCTATCAACACGTAATGTTGTATCAATGTATATAGAGATGTACTACCGCAAAAGTATTCTCCGTCGGGACTTCCTGCAACAACACCACGCCGTTATCTTGATTCTGATTGGCCAGAAGACATTATAAAAGATGTTCTATTTAGAAGACGATCACTACGTGACAAAAGTTTTCAAAACCGTTTCTAGTCTTCGGTATTCTTGTTTTGGCGTGAGAATAGTTTGGGCAGCGTGAGAGCGTGAGATTGAGAGTGAAAGCGTGTGTCACACGCCAGATGCGTGAGAGTTGGCAACCCTGCATAAAGACGAAACTCCTCTCCAGAAGTGAGACGCCGCCGCCGCCATCACTGTTAACTGATTAACTGCTACCAGCTGAGGACTTACTTTCCTCTTCTTTGAAAAAAATGTTGTTATGTCCATGTTGTCTGGGGAGAAAACATATCAAACCAAGAGATCGTCAGCTTTGATTTTCGCTGTATTAACCATTTCCTGAACATTTGGTGTGTGTGCCTTACCTCCGCTACCGGCATCGCTTCATACAACAGATCTGAGCTGTCCAACTATACGACACTCCTTGAACATGCGCGCGCTATGTGAGAATCTGCCTTGGTACAAAGTAGCAGTGAAAACATGGAACGGCGTTTCATTGATTTGGGCATTCTCTCAATAAGCAAGTGGAATGGATTTGATAGTGAAGCACTGACACAGCGCTCTACAAAGTGCGGCGAGTGGGAGAGACCGATTCACGGACTTTCCGCAAAGTAAAAGTGGGGGGGTCTAAACTAATCATTTGAAAAAGTGGGGGGGACTTGTCCCACCCTCATATAATGGCTGCGACGCCCATGGGCTATGGTAGGTTATTGGTTATGTTCACATACTTATTTGGTTATTAAAATGTAAACCGATCTTTTTTATATGGGTATTTTAGAGTTGTACCCCCTAGATCTAGTCTCTAGTAATTCTGCTCAAAGTGCACCAGATTGAAGCATTTTACGGGGGGGCATTACCCCGGACCCCCCTAGAGGATGTGACATCCACCTGCCAATTAAAACATGTTCATACAATAATGAATACATTTGAAACCTTCTTTATATATATAACCAACATGTCAATACGTTTCAGTGTTTGTAGTGTATTGGTCTTTTGTAGAGATTCTTCATTTATTCTTTATATATTCTATTGTGTATTGCTTGGAGGGGCGGAGGACCAAATCATAATCTCGCTAAAATGTCTAGGGCCGGCCCTGATACAGTTCAAACCCCAATGCAGTCAGCATGTCGTTGTGTCCCTGAGCAAGACACTTCACCCCAAATTGCTCCGATGGGGATTGCCCACAGTATTGAGTATGTGAGTCGCTTTGGTTAAAAGCGTCTCTAACAAGTAACATGTAATGCAATGTATACTGTATGTAGCCTACCATGTGAGACAGGCTATGAGCCCTCCCGCTCTGTAGGGGGCGCTGAGCAGCGATAAGAGCCTTCTCACAGTCTGTTTGACGCTGCGCGGTTTCCGTACACAGCGTGGATTCAATGACACTGAGCTTTCAGAAGTCATTTCAGTCCAACAAGGTTTAAAGATGTCGTTTACCTTTTTATTCAGAACAATTACAAGAGACCTTGCAAAGGTGAGCACAATTAGCTTTACACTAAGTCTTATTTGTATCATTTTACCTAAAGCTCGACCTGTCATTCACTGGTGTGTTGGTTAGCTTCATTACTTTCTGATTTACCGGCTTAACATTACTGTGCCAGTCTCAATGTGTTACCTCGCTAATATATTCTTAATTCATGTTTTATCTGATATCACTCTTGTTAGACGTCTCGCTGTAATATCTACTCAATAGATCAACTGGATTTTTGAAGTTATGCAATTCTCCCTTCTGTCATCTTCAGGTCAATACTTGCCATATACAGTCACTACACACAGGTCTCCAGCTCCTTGCAGCTGATAAATCCCTGCTGATGAAACTGCGGAAAAACACCGGCTACACTTTCATTAACTGCAAGAAAGCCCTGGAGAAGTTTGATAATGACATGGCACAGGTAACCCACATCTCTCATCCTCTCTGCACAACAATATCTGTATGTTGTCTTCTGAAACTACTATATTTGTGAATGTGTTACTGATGTTAATGTCTATGTATATACTCGCATTTTAGACTCTGTTACTAACTGTATATCTGTAGACTTGGTATGTCTTAAATGTCCGGTTAGGATGTATTAGAACGAAATCTAAAATGAAAATTGTAAATAAGCAATCTGTATGTAAAAAACCACCTGTATGTAAATTGTAAATAAGCCATCTGTATGTCAAATATGTCTTATATGTCTTAAATGATATGATGAATTGGAAATGGGGGACCCTGATGTAAACAAGACGAAAGTCTTTCTCTGGTCTGCATCCCCTTAACAATTGTATATTTTGAGCTGTACTGTACTGTACCCAATATACAAGCTGTTAATAAACTTCTCAATCAATCAATCAATCAAATGTCCAATCTTTCAGGCAGAGACCTGGCTGAATGAGCAGGCGCAGAAGGAGGGCTGGAACAAAGCAAACAAGCTGGAGGGTCGCAAAGCCAAAGAGGGGCTGATTGGCCTGTTCATGGGAGATAAAGCTGCAGTTATGGTGGAGGTAAGGCCCGTGATATAGTGCTTAAGGATGCATTATAAATATTTCTACATGTATTTTCTTAATAGAAGAATACTTTTAGATTATTTGACTCTTGAGAAACAAGCCAAAAAAAATAACCCTACCTCTGACGTTTTTAACCAAGCTACATTTTGAGAATCAATGATTTATTTGGTGGGATTTTTATGTATTTAGCATTAGTGTTTTTAGTGGGTGAAATCATAGGGTCGGATTGTTTTAGAGAGGAGTACCTCTGGAGATAATTTGTCTCCTGGTAAAAACCTACTGAACAATGAACGCTGAAATAATTCTAACCGGTAGAAGCACTCTCAAACTCTGTCTTTTGTCATTCTCTTAAATAAGTGATCCCCACTTATAGATAACAACATATTATGCTTTTAATTACAAGAAGCATCAATACTTAAATTGATCACTTTCTAGTTTGTTTGATGTAGTTGCATTCAGATATATCCGTCTCTTTTCTTCTTGTGCGCTTGGTGCAGGTTAACTGTGAGACAGACTTCGTTGCCCGCAATGAGAAGTTCCAGCAGCTGGTTAAGGAGGTGGCGCTTGCAACCTTGGCTCACCACCGGAATAAAACACAAAGCCAGGGCGGATATGTGAAGGTAAAACCACATAGTAACTTCAGGAGCTCTACTGTCATGTCGTTTTCTCAAAATATGTAAATCGACACATACAGAGGCCTAGTTGTCTGGATGAGCCTTTTATGAGAGAGATGCAAACAGCAGGACACAGGCCGAGCACAGGCACTGCTCAATACATCTTCATAATTACAAAGTTATAAGTATTGCAAGTACTTTACATAAATACACACTGCTTCATCTGCATACTACATTTTGGTGTTTTATAAGCAATTTTTCATATTGACTTCTTAAATATGTAAAGGTTATACTGTACATGGTAAGGCTGTTTTCTTTGCCCTGCTGTAATGCTGCTTCCATACATTGTTTGTTTCCAGAGTGTCCTGGTAGGCGATGAGTTAAACAAACTCAGCTTGGAGGCAGGAGCTTCACTTTCTGACAGGGTGGCTCTCACAATAGGTCAGTAAGAAAATGTTTCTTTAATTATCTCTAAAACACTGTTGTCTTGGTTTCAAACACATATACCTCCTCGGTCCCTCTACTAGAATTTTAAGTTTTTCTTCAATTTGGGTTTACGTGAGCAATGATGGCAGTATAAAACCTAATTCGGAAATAAAGTTAATGTTTTCTTGTAAGTTTGTTTCCATGCATGCTTTACATTCGAAACATTGTTGGGCATAAACAACCACATCGTATAACACAACTGAGAAGTGTGAGAGGGATTGTGACAGATTTACAGTCACACAATATCATTGAAGTTTTGTTAATATACCAGATGTTAAGTATCTACAACTTATCATCAATTAACAGCAAAAAAAAGAACAAACAAAACATCCTTTGACCTATACTTTAAATATTCCATAACACTATCAAAACTATTCTTTACCACTGACCCCCATTGACACAGACTCCTAACTCCCATAGTCACTATGTGTTACATTAACGGTAGTGTCCCATTAACCGGCATCTAGTGACATGTTTGTGTCCTTCCTGATTCTCTATACTGTAAACCTTTGCATATTCATAGGACTATTTTGCACATTCCTTACAACACTCACACTTTTATTTATTTGTATCTTTTATAGTACTTTTTACAATAGTTTGAATATTATTTCTATATTTGCTCTTTTTTTACATTTTAATTCCTCCTACTGTGTTTATGTACGCACCATTATACACCAAAGCCAATTCCTGTCATCTGTAAACCTTCTTGGCAATAAACCCGGTTCTGAAGTAAAACACGTTTTGCTGAAATCAGTATATTTGCGGTTTGTAAAACATGTTTCCCTCTTTCTCCCCAGGGCGCCTCGGTGAGAACCTGTCAGTGCGGCGGGCGGTGGCGGTGGGTGTCCCGGCTGAGTGGAACATCGGCTCGTACGTTCACGGTGGTGTGAGCGGCCAGACCGAGGTGGCCATGGGTCGGTACGGCGCCCTGGTCGTGTTTCAGGGAGGAGAGGAGGGAGCGCAGGAAGTTCTGGGGCGTAAGCTGGGACAGCACATAGTGGGAGAGTCCCCGGTGTCCCTGGGCAACATGGATGACCTCCCCTGTGGGGAAAGTGAGACCCGCCTGCTGCCTCAGACCTTCCTGGGAGACCCCAGCAGGACCGTGGCTCAGTTCCTCAAAGGTCAACAGGCTCGAGTGCTGGACTTTGTCCGATTTCAGTGTGGCGAGACAGCCAGTGAAGAAGCCAAATGAAGAATGAGAATTTATCTAAAAGGATTTGTCATGTGTCTTAATTAAACATGAAAATGAGATGCCCATTTATCCAACAGTTACACAGTATCCGTGTGAATTACAAAGATATACATATATATACATATACAGGTCAACCAACAAATTACCAATCCAACAATAAAATGTGTTTGCTTTTCTTGGAAATCTTTGTCCAAATGAATTTGTTTGTTTAAATTGTTTTGAATTATAAGACTTGTTTTTAATCATGGGTCAACCTGCTGACATAATTTACATATTCTTATGTTTTCTTAGTTCCTTCTATCCTTGTGTGTATTTATATGTTGTTGAATTCAAGAAAATTAATCAATTTGACCTCTGAGATGAAGTGGAGTGAAATTATAAAGTAGCACAAGTAAATGCAAGTAAAGTACATTACCAAAAGAGTTGTATTTAATAATTGGATTTGCTTGAAGCTAAAACTAAATGTAACAGTACTATTTCTAAGATTACTTTTATTAAACGGTGTGCCAATTGATGTATTTTCTTTTTTTAATGAACCATTTTTTAATCAAGGGAAATTGGACACAGACATGGAATCCTTCTGTCAATGGTAGAAGAATAACGTTGTAGTAAAATATTATCGATATTGTATAAAATAAACACATGAAAATGCTTTAAATCATAATAAACTTAATTAAACACAACATCATTGTAAAAAGGGATGGTGGGGCATTTTGTTGCTGCACTCCAGCAAAAATGCGAACTATGCAACTGTGAAAAGGAGGACTGTGATTGGCTGTTGCAATATAAACTGCAGTGACGTCATCGTTGATGTAGTGTCCTCCTCATTATTTGAGAGACCCTCGCCCGTCTGTCATCACAGCCACAAACAGACATGGTGAGTACAGATATTTCGCAGACTAATTCATAGAAATAGCTAAAATTAATAGATTCGTAATAAATGAAATTACGTTGTTCTTCATTCAGAGATTTTGAAGCGAGTCGCACAGTTAACGTTAAGCTAGCTGCGTATCTGCTGGCCTGCTTCTCTCTGTTTAAGCCTTTTGCCACAATCCTTGTCTGTACGCTGGCTCCAATGGAGGATTAACTTGAAGCATCTGAATAACGCTAACAACGGTCTGTTTTTTCTTTTTGTCTCCTCCAGTCTGATTTCACAGAGGACCAGATTATGGGTGAGTTTACATCTGATTACCAAAAGGGATTTCTCTTTTTTATATAATATATTAGGTTATATACACATACCCTGTCGTAGCATTTTAACAAGCTTCATGAATTCGTCCATCTGACCCTGTAGTTTGACTACTGTCTCTGCAAATCGCTGGACCCCTTCAGGTAACTCTGACTGACTGGGATAAAATAACATTTTTTCTAACCGTGTGAGGTTCAATGCTTGTCACGACTTACACCTGGCAAATACCATCTGAATGTATCACAAGCAGTAAAGAATATCCTACCAACCAGTTTCAAACATGTCAGCAGCAGTCATAAAAGTGTAGACAGTTTGTGTTTTTGTAGCCATATACAGTCTATGATTTTAGCAGACAGCACAAGGATCACTTCATGTTGCCAGCAGGGGGCGCTATGAAAATGATTTAAACTAGTCTTCAGATTAGTCGTTTTCCTCATGAAATTTTACATTTGGAAAATATGGGACCATGTTGAGTGCTACAATAAGCCAGTCTACTTAGTCCATACACCCAATGGATCATGGTGTAGGCTCAGACTTAAAGGCGTGGCATGTGTCACTAAAACTATCCTTTTGTGGCACTAAAACAGTTTGTCAGAACATAGTATGCATGAATGATTCAGGTCACCAGCTACGTGTTGTTTAACATAACAAGTCTTATTGGAGTTGGAAACAATTGGTGCTTTTAAGAATAGCATTTCTCCGACAACCCCCACCACCCACAGGCACAAGAGCTGCTGCAGGCAATGAGTGTTGTAGATTATGTGATAAAACACAACACAGCATATTTCAGTTTTTCCTTTAAAGTGGGTCAGCTGTTGATCTGATGCAAAGTAATTCCCTGGACAAGAAAACCTACTAGCCTATGTAAAGCTGCTGATAACATTACATTAAATGTTATTTGGCTTTCAATTTTTTCTAAAGCGACTTACATACACTTACCATGTAGACATGTAAAACAGCAGCAATTTGAGGATAAGTATTTTACACTAACATGTTGACGGCAGGGAAGGGATCAAACCCTAAAACCCCTGATTGGCAGACGTGACGGCATCATTAACTGACCGAAGTACTTTAAATAGGTGCTGTGTTATTGTTAGCAGCACATTGCTATAATGCTTTTGTTGTTGTTAAGCAGTTTAAACTGATAGGACTCTTTCCTACACAGAAGTGCTCCTGCCATGCTACTACAGAAAAGAGTAGACTTCATTACATGTCTCACTGTCAAATACAACACTGTTATTCAATGAAATTCCACATGCAGTGTTTTGAGCCCTTTGGTGTTGTGCATATGTGTTTGTGAGTAATGGTATTTTCAGCTAAACCTGACTTCTACCTCTCTACCTGTCTCCATATCAGAGTTCAAGGAGGCCTTCCTTCTGTTTGACCGGACGGGTGAGGGGAAGATCACCTACAGTCAGTGTGGGGACGTGATGCGGGCCCTCGGACAGAACCCCGTCAATGCCGAGGTGCTCAAGGTCCTGGGAAACCCCAAGCTAGAAGGCAAGGCTCAACTAAAATAGACCATTTCATCTTTCTACATTATCGTTCCCAGTTAGGTCGGATGTTGTGTAATCATTATAGCCCCATTATATGTGCTGAACTTCCGTTTTGGGCTTGTTTAGGTATTAGCATTTATTTTATTTTTGATGACCCATTAAAGCCTTTCATATTCACTACACAAATACGGCCTCTTTTTTTTTACTCTGTAAGGTCTGTATGAAGGTCTGTATGAAGGTCTGTGAAAGGTATGGTATTTTGTATATTTAAAATCAATGAATATATAAGGTTTTTTTGCAATCCATGAATTGATGCATACAATTAGTTAGAGACCATCTTGTAATGGGATCATCACCCAAGCCCCTTCCATACTCATGCCCCCTATTGAAAGCACCTTGCACCCATCTGAAATGTCAACAACATATTTCTAAACTTTAATCTTGCATGTTCTGAGGCTATAACGTTTGACAATATCTGTCCACCTACAAGCAGACATGTAAACACTTATGTTGTACAAGTATTTACATTTTTCTTCCCGAACGATCTTACTGACAGCCATACTAATACACACCATTTCATAAGAGCTCTAGAGTTGTTTTAAATTAAACAACATTATGATTCATTCCCCTGCAGAGATGAACTACAAGATGATGGACTTTGAGCAGTTCCTGCCCATGCTTCAGGCCATCGCTAAGAGCAAGGACCAGGGCTCCTTCGACGATATTGTAGAGGGTCTGCGAGTGTTTGACAAGGAGGGAAACGGCACAGTGATGGGAGCAGAGCTGCGCCATGTTCTCACTACACTGGGTGAGTCAAGAAAAACCTGCAAAACGAGAAGATCTGTCGATGATCCCGATCTCGCTGAGAGGACCCATGTCTGTCCGTCTTATCTCCAAAGTGAAATCCCTACAGGCACTTATCTGTGGCAAGAACTTTGTAAACAAGCTGGCTGTTTTTATTTCATCTTATGGCCCTCTGTCTATGATTTTCTTTCATGGCATCCTATACTTTACTTTTTGTAACTTTCTTTAACATATTATACTATAAATGTATTGACTTTTTGAATGATCTTCTATTGACATTTTGCACCAGGACGTTTTTTACTTTGTGACAAAATATTACTTTTTCTATGACTTTTCTGCTACATACTAACATAACCAACACATTTATAAATACAACAAATAAAATACTAACTATGACCTTTTTTCACATTTGTACATCGTATATACTAGGATTTTAGTACCATCTGATACTATTCCCTTTCTCTGACTTTTTGATGACACTTTTATCACATCTTATGTGCATTGTAATTCTTTGTTTGTTCCAGGTGAAAAGATGTCAGAGGAGGAGGTGGAGACTCTTTTAGCGGGACATGAAGACGCCAATGGCTGCATTAACTATGAAGGTAAAACTGCACAGTGTATGAAGACACTCTTAGACTATTTGTTTTCAAGTACTTTACTGTTCAACATGAACATACACTACTCTTCTGGATAGTCAGAAAACAACTAAAGCCATTGTGTTTTTGTCTCATATGCTCATTAATCCGTGGTCTCGTTCCAAAGCATTCCCCCTCTTCATGTCCTCTAGCTGAGCAGAGTAAGAGCAGATCCCTAAAGCCTCCTTAACTGCCTGTATCAGGGAAGCCCATCACTGCTCAAGGGCTTCACTTTCAGCTCGAGAGTGAGTGAGTTCCGAAACACGTTGTAACATGCCGAGGGAGCGCAGTGTAGCAGGTTTACTAACAACAACAGATGTGTTGGTCAGACTCAGTCATTCACATAGGGAGATGTGCTATTAGTGGCAGACGACCTGGCAAATAAACGTTCATTCCTTAACCAGAAGAGTAATGGACGCTTTGCAAACTGTTTCAGAACTACAGCCCATGCACTGAGAATAAGATTCATTGTAGCCATTTCTGTAAACAATTGTGTTGACTGATATAATGATTCAACTATAGCTTTCTTAAGCATCAGAGCCTTTCATTCAGACATTGGAATCAGGACCAGGAAGGAGAGACCTTGCATCCCCACTAACAGATGTTTTCTGTGCAGTTTGTTCTGACATTCTTCAGATGAAATGCTGATGTTGTTTCTCTTCTCCTGACAGAGCTCGTCCGGATGGTGATGAGCGGTTGAGGATTTCAGAAACACACTTCCAGCTTTAATTTTATTCCTAAATATTTTTGTATTGTTTGACCGTTCCATCCAAGTCACCCTACCTCCAACAAGTCTGTCTTTTTCTTTTTTTGACATCTTATTTTGAAAGTGCCTTTTCTGTCTAATGTGAAGAAACCCTCTCATTTTCAGCCTCACAGGTTCAATCGGCACGAAGGTCAATTATTTTACCCGTTCCATTTTAGTTAATCAGCTCGTCTTGCTGTCAAGTTTTCTGTTGTTTTCTTTTCATTTGGATGGCTATGATAATGTGACATGTTACACCTAACAGTGTTGAATAAATCCTGCTTTCCAAACAGTCTTTCAGTCTTTGAGTCTTCAGCTTGGGTCAACTATTTTTTTATAGGTTTTAAATCACATAATAACAAGATATTATTGGTAAAATTGGAAAAAAATATATAAAAATGTATACTTGAATAAGTAGAATAATATGTATTAATATATAAACATATTTGATGTATTGTTGGGTAGTTTGATCTTCTGTCCTGTGAAAAACACGTATCTAAAAGCTTTCATGAGCTCAGAAAAACTGCCATCTTTTCAGCTTTGTGGTGATACATGTTCCAGCTGCTAAAAAAAGCTTTTGAAATCGTTGATTTAGCTCAAGAAGTAGAAACATTTTCTGATATATATAAAGGGACACATCGTCCTTCATTTGATTTGAAATATTCAAAATAAACACGCCCGAACTAGAGATACAGCACATGGTCTCCATTGGATAGGAGATGGGAGAAAGATGTGTAATCTGAAAGGAACTAAAGCTAATAAATGTAGTTGAGTATATTATTTCCCTATGAGATGTAGATCGGTAGAAGTGTTAAGTTAAAATGGAAAATAATGAAATAAGAACAAGTACCTTACGTTTGTGCATAAGTAGTGCTTGAGTAAATGTACTTAATTCCATTCCACGACTTTGCTTTTCCTACTGTGAACACATTTTAACAATCCACCTACACCTGGCAGCCAGTCCATTACATAACAATTGCATTCAATAACAGGAGTGTGATCTTTAAATATCCTGACAAACCAGTAAGATACTTTATTATGTTGTACCTTCTCATATCCTGTTACCAGTCTGCTAATTGATGACAGAAGAAAAACACTCATCACAATGACTTCCTCTTCACATCTTTATTTTTTCCCAACATTTTGTAATGAAAACCTGGACCTTTTCTTTTGCCTCTTTTTAAAATACAAACTGCCAGAGTAACTGTCAGCACGAATGCGATGATTTACTGAGGAAAAAATGATTTCTACCGTATAATAATCAATGCAATCTGCTGCTAGCTTCAGCATAGTGAAAAACATACAGAAACTAAACATACACTTATTTCATATCACAAAGTCCACACAATGTAGTAATTACACAGTTAAAAGAAGTCCATGTATGCTCACGGCTGTGGTGAGGTCTGTAATACTGGCTTGACGGACACCGACTGTAGAGCTTCACCTTCTGACTGGATTATATTTCATGACACTGACGTGGTGGCCGTGTGCACAATGAAGCCTGCTTTTTTTATTATTCTGGAAACGTTATGACACACGGCAAATGGCACTGGAAATAAAACTGAACGGAGGTTTTACAGATGTTCATGGCATGCGTTCACATACACACATGCTCACACTCACATCTGGACAGATCCAACAGACCTGCCTGAATCATACACAACAGTGGAGAGGGTAAATATAGTCTACAAAGGGAATCATATACAGGTACAATGTTGACAAGAAAAGATGGAAAAAACGTACAGTAAAAAATATAAAAATTGATAGGATATAAAGTGAGGATATTGTTGCAGATATTAAGGACACAATTCTCCATTGTCAACTGTTTAAGGTGCGAGCTCCCTTGTTTGTTTTTCTTGACAGCATTTACATTTCTTCCATGTGTAACTTGAAATGCACCAGAGCTGCTAAAAAACTAAAAATCCTCTTTTTCCCCAAGACACCACAATAAAACTCACTGAATAAATGTGAGATAAAAATGATTATAAAAACCTTTTGGTTTAGCAATGAACACAAATCATGAATAAAACACTGATGCGGTCGCTGGTGGAATTATCATTCCCAGATTTTCAGTCATTCCTTCTGAACAAAACTACATTCCTCACAAGACTAGATGCTTTGAATACACCCAGATTTAGAAAACATGAAACCCCATCGCGACGTTTTCTATAAGTGCTGTTGAAAAGAGGGACATTATTGAGATAGATTTAAAGAGAGCTCATTTCAGAATGAAAATCTCACAGGGTCAGTACTTTCAAATATCATCGTTATGGGGCAACACAAGGTGTGTTCGTAACAGAAAATCCAGTCTACAGTACATTTCCTCAAACTGTATCCAAACTTAATTTCCAACCGGCTTTTGATTTGTTTCCATTCATTACTGACGCAACCTTCAGGCCTGTAGAGTGACCGTTTGACCATTTAACACAAATAAAGGTAACATTCCCAATCAAGTTTTCAAAACCTCCAGCATGAAAAAGTATTTAAGACAACAAAGGGATAATATAAGTGCTAAAGTTCAATTTCATGGATGCGTCAAGTCTTTCAATGAGAACTTGGGAAACATGTTAAAAGTGCATTTTTTGTCTTACATATCATTTAACTTTCGTACCTTCAGAACAAGCGGGGGAACTCTGGAGAGATTGTGACGCCTTTACAAGCAAACTGTTGCAGACAATAAATGCAACCATTTCCAAAACACTGAACACAAGATGAGTCTTTTCTCCTCGAGCGGCAGCATGTCGGTGAGACTCTCCTAGTTCAAACATGTCGTGAGATGTTGCTGTCCAATCGACCTCACCGGAGGGACAGCTTCTGTTTGAAAGTACATTTCGTCATTGGCAGATTACATTTGAAAGGGACTTCTTTTTATAACAGAGTCAAAGTAGAGCTGGTTTGATTTAGTATTTTTTTCTTGCATTAATTGTCCTGTTGGAAAAGAAAACAAGAGCTGAACATGTGAAATGTGTTCTCTTCCTTCATGTCATGACTTCTTCATTTTAGATAATACCGGCAGGATTCAAAGTGGTCAGAGTCATTGGGAGTCTCAGGCAGGTTTCTCTCACTGTGGAGGCGCGACGGGAGCCGAGGGGTGGAGGGTTTCCCCGGAAAGAGGGGCGGCGGCCTCTGTGAGGGGGGGGAGAAGAGCGGAGAACTTTTTTAACACATTTAAAAATAACTTAGAGATTCAAGTGAAAGCTGATAAACCTTAACAGTCATACATTTAAGATGTTATCCTTCATGGAACCTTTTGGCGCTAACCCAAAGAGGCTGCTCACCCATTGTTCTTTAATTTCCAGACTTCTCGGTTTATTTTATCATCAACATTCAAGAGTTTCAGCTAACATCTGCCTGTGAAGAGTGAAGAAACACACATTCTTTCCACACTTTTCTCTTCTTTACTCCATACTTATAAAGACCTGAAAACCTTAACTAACTCAATTAGTGTTAGTTGCAGGGATCATTTTCGTGTGTTCTGCACATCATTGATTCATCTTGCAATACTGTGTACGTTTCACGACTATATGCAGCTATTGTTAAAAGCCTGTAAAAACATCTGCTCACTCTTTTAAAACGTGTAGCATCTAGACATAGTACCAACTAGTGGTGTTGAGGAAATGAACAGAAAGTCTCTCTGTATCATCACATTAACAACTTCTACATTTGGTACATTGCGGTTGACTTTAAACTCACCATGGAGTGGAGTAATGCTGGAGCTGGAGCTGGAGTTGGAGTTGGCAGCGGGGGTCCCGCCGGGGGGGCAGGAGGGCGAGGTGTGAGCACTCTGAGGGGGCTGGGACTCAGGGGCCGGGGCAGAAGCTGGAGGGGCGGGGCTGGGGGCCGGCTGCGGCGCTGGTGTGCTGGGAGCCGACTGACCTGCGGTGGGACCCTGGCTCGGTGGGGTGGGGGCCGGGGCCGCCTGGTTGGCATGAGGCCCCCCCGCCTGGTGCTGCTGGTGCTGGATCTGCTGGAAGTGCTGCTGGCGGGCCCTCATCTCCGCGTACTTCAGCTGCTCCATGTGGAAGGACTGCCGGTCAGCCAGCAGCTGCTGACGCTGGTACTCCAACTACACACACACACACACACACACACACACACACACACACACACACACACACACACACACACACACACACACACACACACCACACACACACACACACACACACACACACACACACACACACACACACACACACACACAAAGTTAGTTACTCAGCCATGCTGCTGGAGAGAATAGGATGATTGATGGTTCATCGTGCTCATGTTTTCTGGTCTTATTCCCCCTAGACACCTGCATTTTCCTTTGGGGATTGATAAAGGTTTACCTTAATCTCATCTTAACTTATCCGGACTTAATGAAGGATGTGGCAACGATCATCTTAAAAACATTCCCATCTCTTTAACTTCAACACATATGTACATCCTTCAGCTCTTGCTGGCCATTACAGAATTCTAGCTTCAGAAAAGTTGTCCCACTTCTTTGACAATATTTTTGAAGCAATCAATCTTCTAGAACAGTCCACCTTATCCATATGACTACAAATAGACCAGGGAGGAACGGTGGAACAAGTTGTGTGCTTATTTGAGACAAACTTTTAATATTGTTTTATAACAGTATGCAGCATTTTAATTAAAAATAGTCAAATCCGCTTGATTTACTGATCATCCCATGACCTCATCTTTGTTTGCTTTTTCGTTTCTTATCATATCTTTTAGTTACTGTTCTTATAATGTGACTTTTTTATGTGAAATTCATACATAAGTATTTGTAATTCATCGTTTTGTACTCTTATAAGGTTGTCTACTTTCTTGAGATACTACATTTCCCAGAATCCCTCACTCACAGCCTCCCTCTCTCTGTCCATGATGGTTTCCAGTTCTTCGAAGTGTCGCAGTTTAATCTCCAGCTTCTTCATTTGGGTCTCCACCAGCAGCGCCACGAGAGATTTGATCTTCCTCTCCTCCACCGCAGCCAGGTGCTACAAAGACAGGAGGAGGAGCTTAGAGAAGAGACCATTGCAAGCAGACGGGGAAGAGTGTGCTGCAGGACACGGCTGGTTTACCTTGGCTTTGACAGCAGCAGCTGCGAGGGCAGACGCAGCGGCGGTGGCCAGGTTCCCCTCTCCCACGTCTCGCTCCACTTTAGCCTTCCTCTCTCCTTCGCTCTCCGCCTCTCTCTGCCCTTCCTCCGTGCCCTCCTTTCCGTCCTTCTCCTTCTCCCCATCGCCTACAAGCGGGAACAAAGTTACATCTGTATCACCTTTGACACGGAACCTGTATTCACTGTGTCTGCTTCATTGAGTTGCTTCCTCTTACCCATCTCCGCCTCTGTTTTGTCCGCCTCCCTCTCTCCCTCTTGTTCTCTCCCTCTTTCTTCTTCCTTCTTCCCATTCTCCGGCTGCTTCTCCTCTTCCTCAGTCGCTCCATCTTTGTTCTCCTGCACGGGAAAGCAAACAGGGCACAATGAGCTTTGCAACCGCAGAACTCACAAATCAGAAATACAAAATAATGATCAACATGCGCCATACCTTGGCCTCCCTCTTTTCTTCACTTGGCTGGTTGTCACTCTTGTTTTCATCACTGTTTTCATCTTTAAGACAAATGACTTATTATCTTCCAGTGCAAAGGTATGTTACATGTTGTAATGCTCTTGTGTGTGTGTGTGTGTGTGTGTGTGTGTGTGTCCATCCTACCAGGTCTCTCCCCCTCCTCCAGGCCGGTGCCTGCGATGCCGCTCCCCTCCAGGCCGTACAGAGGGTCTTGTCGCCCGCTGACCCTCGCTGCCTCCTCCACCCGTCGGACATGAGCCTCCACGAGCGCCGCGGGAACCTCCTCCTTCATACGAGAAAACTCCTCTGAGAGGGAGGGAGACAGGACGAGGTTATCAGTGTAAAGGATGACTACGAGTAATCAATAACTACATTTGATGGAGACCGTTAACTTATCTTAGCATCTAGTAGGAAAAGTTTGGTATCTCCAACAGTAAGAGATGTTTACATAGTATGTGAAGCCTTTAGTGGCAACTAGCTAGCAGATATATCTTCCTTATTGAATCATTCCTATAGTCTTGATTTTACTTGTTAAAGGGTTTACTTAATGCTTAAAGTCCTGGGTGCAAACTAACCCTAGGAAAACTGCTTTTATTAATTTTTTGTGCTGCGCACTTATTTTTTAATGTTTTACGTTTCACAACATTCATCAAAATGTACCAATGTAACTGTTTTGAACTGTGTCCTGTTCTCTGGTTGTTGTTTTTATGTTTTATTTAAATACAAGTGGAATGAATAATGACCAGGAACATTTTAGTTTGAAATAAAAAATAAAACCCTCAAAAAATGAAATTCAAAATAAGCTTCTTCTCACCCAGAGCAGACTTGGCTGCAGCCGAGGCGACGCGGGGGTCGACAACAGAGGCGAGGAAGGCTACCGAGCTCATCACCGGGTTTCCTGCCTGGCTGAAAGGAACCGGCTGGAAGGCGAGCGGCCCCAGGGACGAGGAGTTTTCCTCCAGGTAAGGGTCTTCGATGGGCAGCCGCAGGAAGTGCAGGATGCACTCATCCTGCGTACGGCTGCCCACGTGTTCTGAAACCTTGTTCCAGTCGTCCTTGAACATCTCCAACCCCTGAAGGGAGTAGAGCAACATTTAACTTCACATGTTTACTTGTATCAAATACTCTAATGAACACAATTACTTTTAGAATCATTTGTACCTCAAGGAGTAGAAGTGTTTCTTGTTCTGTCCACTCCCTCATAGAGCTCGCTGTACTCTTGCTCTGTGCAAAGACACCACCATTTGTTACTATGAGCAAACAATAACAGCAAACATTTTACTATCGCGCAGCTCCCTAGACTTGTACCTTCACAGGGCCCGTCTTCTTGCTGTACATGTCAGTCCTCAGCCCAAAGTTCTGCAGATCTGCAGGTTTCTCCTTCACTTTGTCAGGGAAGGAGATAATCTGCTGGGTGGCCGGGGTCTACAGGTGCATAAGGTAACATAGGGACGTGTGTCAAAAATAAATACTTAGGGTTAGGAACATTTTTGCAGCCTATGGCAAACAAAAGACCAGAGTGTTATTGGTTCCACTATCCTGATCAATAAGTTACTAGTACTTGTATCAGAATACCATTTTTAGTAACGCTCCCAACCCTGCATGTGTCTTTATTGGTGTGGGTGTATATGTGGGTGTAAATATGGACCTGGGACGTTTTGGGCTGCAGGGGAACCAGACTGGACGGAGTGTCTGCCAGGACGTGGAAGTGAGAGGTGGGTGGGGGGCCCATGGGTGTGGGTCTGCTCTCAGAGTCCACCTGGTAGTTGATGAGGCCCCACTGCTCCAGGAAGGCATGAACTCTGAACGTAAGAAGCATAGAGTGAGCACGCTGACGGCAGTTTGAAAAAACACGTGAGGCTGTGTTAGAAATATCCACCTGCACCTACCTCATGATGGCACAGACGTCTCCGGCCAGGTTCCTGCGGCAGGCGGTGGACGTCAGGTACTCCTGAGGGTTCAGTCTGTAGGTGTCAATCATGAAGTTCCTGTACGCCAGGTAACTGAAAGAAGCAGGTGCATAGAAAGATATTTCTGTAGTCCCACATGTGAATCATTATTTTGGCGTATTTAGTGGCATAAAAACATGTTATATTGGGATGTGTGCTGATGAAATACTTACATCTCCGGAGTTTTGGATTTGTTCTTCCCATTAAAGAACTCTGGCAGGGCTCTGCGCTCAATGGCATGAACACTGTGGGAAAACAATTACAACACGGTGAGGACTCAAAGCAGAAATACTAATAATTTACTGACCTTTGAGACATGTTACATCATTTGAAACAATATTGACACCAGCTGATTTCAACCCATGCTTCTTCACATGTCTGATGTCTGAATTGTATTATAACATTATAGATATCTTTACTTTCACATTATCCCAAACATTCATACATGTCATGTTCACATATTAAACGTGTAACGTATCACTGCTGTTGTCTTACCATCTCCTACTACTTGACATGTCTATCCTATGTCATTATATTTATATGATGTGTTCATATCTTTTTTTTTGTACATGGAAGGTTATCCAGTGCAATAAGTGAAAGGTGTTTATATTTGTATTTATCACTCAAACATTTTGTCCATTACTGTTGCATCGCAAATGTATCTTTCTCACCTGTTGTAGTCGAACCAGGCAGCGTAGCTGGGTATGATGATGTGATGAGTCTGCTCGGTCACGTTGTCCTCGTGGAGGTCCGAGCCTTTCACTGGTTCGCCCTTCACGCTTGGAGAGCCTTCCTCCTCCTCCTGTCAGAACACAATCACACACTCATGTTGATGTATAGCTTTACTGGCATCATGTTTCCATCTTTCCCTGCACTTTACAAACTGCCTTACCTTGCCTGTTGTTTCCATGGACTCATCCTCTTGCTCGTCTGTTCAAATCCAAAAATAAAGGTAAGTAATTATAAAACGGACTGCAGACGAATGACATTTGCTTATTATAAAATGTACTGTCTCTCAAAATGAATGACTTTCACAGTTCACAGAGACTAAAAAACTATTTGATCTAATAAGAGAGAAACCCAGATCAAAGATAAAGTTATACAATGATATCTTATGACCTGATTTCATAAACAGACAATGAGGATCACAAAGCACACAGGTTTCTTTTAATAAAAGTATTTAGAGGTGACCATTGTGAACTTCTGCTCACCCAAATCTGCTCCCCCCTTGACTGGAGTTGAATCCGAGTCTTTCTTAGTGTTATCTGCAAAAAGAAAGAATGTCAGCCAGAAGAAGACAACGACTCATTTAATGTCTAGAAAGTTCAAACTGAGGATCATTTATTATTACATTTAGGTGTGTTTTGAAAATAGGTGTACTTGTTTTAGGTGTGTTTTGAAAATAGGTGTACTTGTTTAGGTGTGTTTTGAAAATAGGTGTACTTGTTTCAGGTGTGTTTTGAAAATAGGTGTACTTGTTTCAGGTGTGTTTTGAAAATAGGTGTACTTGTTTTAGGTGTGTTTTGAAAATAGGTGTACTTATTTTAGGTGTGTTTTGAAAATAGGTGTACTTGTTTTAGGTGTGTTTTGAAAATAGGTGTACTTGTTTTAGGTGTGTTTTGAAAATAGGTGTTCTTGTTTTAGGTGTGTTTTGAAAATAGGTGTACTTATTTTAGGTGTGTTTTGAAAATAGGTGTACTTGTTTTAGGTGTGTTTTGAAATAGGTGTACTTGTTTTAGGTGTGTTTTGAAAATAGGTGTTCTTGTTTTAGGTGTGTTTTGAAAATAGGTGTACTTATTTTAGGTGTGTTTTGAAAATAGGTGTACTTATTTTAGGTGTGTTTTGAAAATAGGTGTACTTGTTTCAGGTGTGTTTTGAAAATAGGTGTACTTGTTTTAGGTGTGTTTTGAAAATAGGTGTTCTTGTTTTAGGTGTGTTTTGAAAATAGGTGTACTTGTTTTAGGTATGTTTTGAAAATAGGTGTACTTATTTTAGGTGTGTTTTGAAAATAGGTGTACTTGTTTCAGGTGTGTTTTGAAAATAGGTGTACTTATTTTAGGTGTGTTTTGAAAATAGGTGTACTTGTTTTAGGTATGTTTTGAAAATAGGTGTACTTATTTTAGGTGTGTTTTGAAAATAGGTGTACTTGTTTCAGGTGTGTTTTGAAAATAGGTGTACTTATTTTAGGTGTGTTTTGAAAATAGGTGTACTTGTTTTAGGTGTGTTTTGAAAATAGGTGTTCTTGTTTTAGGTATGTTTTGAAAATAGGTGTACTTGTTTTAGGTGTGTTTTGAAAATAGGTGTACTTATTTTAGGTGTGTTTTGAAAATAGGTGTACTTGTTTTAGGTGTGTTTTGAAAATAGGTGTTCTTGTTTTAGGTATGTTTGAAAATAGGTGTACTTGTTTTAGGTGTGTTTTGAAAATAGGTGTACTTGTTTTAGGTGTGTTTTGAAAATAGGTTGTACTTGTTTTAGGTGTGTTTTGAAAATAGGTGTACTTGTTTAGGTGTGTTTTGAAAATAGGTGTACTTGTTTTAGGTGTGTTTTGAAATAGGTTGTACTTGTTTTAGGTGTGTTTTTGAAAATAGGTGTACTTGTTTTAGGTGTGTTTTGAAATAGGTTGTACTTGTTTTAGGTGTGTTTTGAAAATAGGTGTACTTGTTTAGGTGTGTTTTGAAAATAGGTTGTGTACTTGTTTTAGGTGTGTTTTGAAAATAGGTGTACTTGTTTTAGGTGTGTTTTGAAAATAAGTGTACTTGTTTTAGGTGTGTTTTGAAAATAGGTGTACTTGTTTTAGGTGTGTTTTGAAAATAGGTGTACTTGTTTTAGGTGTGTTTTGAAAATAGGTGTACTTGTTTTAGGTGTGTTTTGAAAATAGGTGTACTTGTTTTAGGTGTGTTTTGAAAATAGGTGTACTTGTTTTAGGTGTGTTTCCCTCTTCAGATGCTGGAACGGGTGAGGCTTCATCCAGGTCTTTGCTGGGGTCTTCCTGCTCCTCCTCCCTTTGGCCCCGTTTAGACTTGGTGTACGGGGTCGTTGGCCTGCTCACACAATAACATTGAAATGAAATAAGTCCACACACATACACACACACACACAGACACACACACACACACACACACACACACACACACACACACACACACACACACACACACACACACACACACACACACTACATAACGTCTCTGAAACAACTGGCCTTGCAACACAAAGCTCTTCAACGGCTGAAAGATAGATCGTTTCCTCAAGGCACTGACCCTTTTTTGGTATTCTTTTTCTTGCTCTCCTGAGGCGGGGGGGTGGGGGAGGGGGACGGCGACCTCTTCCTCTTCTTGGCGCTGCCTGGTTTCTTGTCCCTTCGCTCGTCTGGCGTGGTCACCTCATCTGTCAGGGTCTTGGCGGAGATCCTCTTCCTCTTCGGGCAGCCTTCTCCCACTTCATAGTCTTCCTCGTTCATCCACTCGTTATACTGGTCCAAGTCTAAAATCCACTTTGCATGGACCTGTGAAAAGAGAGTGTACAAGGTTCAGGTTCAGGTTATTTATTTGTACCCGTAGGTAGATTCTTTTGCAGAGAAAAAGACAAGGGTTCCATCCTGACACTAAAAACAACAACAACAAACTTATTCCACAGTTTAATCAGGTAATAATGCACGTTTTCAGCCACTTATTCGAGATATCATCAACAGTCAATTTAATGTCACAATGTAAGCTTCTATACATGGATTTAAATGCCTAGTCTGGAAATGAAATGAACGTTATTTAAGTGTAGCAACAGCAGAAATGACTTATAAGGGTGTTTTCAGATTTTCCTGTGCATCCTCCATAGATTTAGATGCTTCACTGCTCTAATTATCATGTCCTAGTGAGTGCGCAATAATTTACAAGTAAGCGACAGAAAGCTCTCTCATTCTTGTAGGTTTTTATAGAGCGTTTGTTTGTTTGTTATACTGGGCACGGATTTCAAAATGTTTGTATTGAATGACAGAAGAAATAGAGAGAAGAAATAGCAAGCAACAACAAGGGGAGGAGGTAAATACCTTTCTGGGCTTTTCTGGGCTGGGAGGATCCTCCACTGTAGCCTCAATCTCACTGGATGGGATCCAGGTATCATAACTAAGTGATGAGAGGAGAAAGGTCAAAGGTCAGTTACAGGGGAATGACTCCACGTTTGTGCTTGTAAAAACATCTTGGGTAGACTAAGGGGCAACTTAAGCTTGTAGGGTTTAGAGCAGTCTGAAGCTTAAAGAACGAAATAAGCAGATTCCCTTCACATTGCAGGAACCGTGTTATACTTACAAAAAAACGTTAAATTCTGATGTTCACCTACCCGTCAGGAAAATATCCCCAGTGGAGCAGCACTTGCTTGTCTCTCTTCATCACGGGACGAATCCATTCCTCTGGACCGAAAAGAGAAATGGATATTAGCCCAAAGCGAGCAGAATCACAATAAATAAACTAACTGTGCTTAAAAAACTAAATGTGAGCCTCACCTTCCTCCAGGCTGGTGGGAATAGGAACGACAACATGGGAGCTGGAGGCCTTCTCCTCGGTCACTGAGCCCTGCAGATGAAGTCACCAGAAATATTGGTAAAGGCACAACAATTAGGATTTGTTGATTTGTAAATAAAACATTCAGTGTTGGCACCAGCTCCCCATCTCTAGAGGGATAAGGCTGTTCACCAGCGGGTAAAACCAACTGCTTGATTACTCTTGTTTTCAACTAGCTTTGGGGTTTTGCAAGGCTATTCTTTTGCTTGCTCATCGTGTCTGCCATTTAGTTTGCTTCCTCTTGGATTTAAAAAGGTTGACGCCAGGAAATATCCCTAACGAAAGAAACATGTACAGGCAATAACGCTTTATTTTCAGGGAAATACTACTGATTGTGCATAAATATACAATATAAAATACGTTTTCAAATCTGCCTAAGGGCCTCTCGTGCAGGCTAGTTTTGGAAAAAGTTGTAACTGTGATACGGTGACTTTTAATAAACAAAATAAAAACCACACCTGATGTCTTTTGATGATGTCTTTCAGTTTCCCGAGCAGCTTGGGCTCTATGTCAGAGCTCAGGTAGATGACTGGTCTGCTCAGGCAGTTGTTCTGAAATGAAAAAATACAACAGATATGTGACTGAGTAAAACCCATACATTAGAATGAGCAGGAAATGTCTAAAAATATGAAATATATTCATGTGATCTCAAACAAGAATCTGTGTATTGGAGCTCTTCAGATTAGGGGAGCTGGATGATTGTGTGGTGTAACTGCAGGACTGATTAAGTCCTTAAGTAGGATTACTGCTTAGGTCACATGACTGGGTGCAAATCATTATTTCTATCTGTAAAGCTCAGGCAGCCTGATTCTCCGACACGTCACAAATATCATGTAATCACAGGAGCACAGGAGTATTTGTATTTGCCCTCATATAGATCTGGTGCTTTATGCTAAAAACTAACAACATAAATACATGACCTGACTCCTAAAGCAGCCCACAACAGTTCATCTCTTACACAACAATAACAACAGTGTTATAGTAAATGTTGTCTTCATGTTGTTTAAGTGTGTGGAGTGAAATACGCTTTATTTAATCTAACATTTAAAAAAACACTGCCATAACACAACAAAACATAACAAATCTAATTGCATTTTCGCTGTCTAGGTAAAGTGTGTCACAAACCTGGATAATGTATTAGGTGAACTCACCTGCACTAAGGACTTCTCGATGGTCATGAACATCTCAACATTTCGGTCCATCCTCGATGGATTCTGGAAGTCAAACCTGCGCCTACCAGGAAATTAGACTGGAGTTACACACGAAACGGCAACAAACACTATAATTGTGTACTTGAAGCACTTAGATAGCATTGTTTATTTTCACTTTGTCTGTCCAGCAAACATTAATGCAAGCTAAAAAGAAAAGCCTTACCATCCTTGGTCACTCTTGAACTTGTAGGCAGCGGCCAGGATGTGGCAGAGGGATCCTCCTGACTTAAAGTCCAGAAAACACTTCATCTGAAGACACATGGATTTAAGAATAATGAATTATCATGTATAACAAAATGCAGTTGTAGTTTAGTCCATTATGTTACAGATAAAAACCATGACAAAACAGAACAAACCACAATATGTGTAGCATTATTGAAGGCCATTTTGGAGGAATGTAAAAAAAACAATGGTATATCTTCTGGGCAGATAATATAAAGGGCATCGTTTACATCAAGGCAAGGCAAGGCAAGTTTATTTATATAGCACTTTTAAACACAAGGCAATTCAAAGTGCTTTACAAAAAATGAAAGACATTAAGAAAATGGCATTTAAAATCAGTCATTAAAAAGAAAAGCTAGTAAAAGAAACATTAAAAGAAAAAATACATGGATAAAAGTTACAGTGCAGTCTAAGATGTGAATAGTTCAATTAAAAGCAGCGACAACAAGAAAAGTCTTCAGCCTGGATTTAAAAGTAATCAGAGTTGCAGCAAACCTGCAGGTTTCTGGGAGTTTGTTCCAGATATTTGGAGCATAATAACTGAACGCTGCTTTACCATGTTTAGTTCTGACTCTGGGGACAGAAAGCTGACCAGTCCCTGAAGACCTGAGAGATCTGGATGGTTCATAATTTAGCAGGAGGTCAGAAATGTATTTTGGGCCTAAACCATTCAGTGCTTTATAAACCAGCAGCAGTATTTTGAAATCTATTCTTTGACACACAGGAAGCCAGTGTAAAGACTTCAGAACAGGAGTGATGTGATCCACTTTCTTAGTGTTAGTGAGGACTCGAGCAGCGGCGTTCTGAATTAGCTGCAGCTTCCTAATAGATGTTTTAGTGAGACCTGTGAAGACACCATTGCAGTAGTCCAGTCTACTGAAGATAAAAGCATGGACAAGTTTTTCCAAATCCTGCTGTGACATCAAAACAATTTCAAAATGTATGTGTTTAAATTACACTGAGATAAAGAGACATACTGGCAGCTTGGTGAGCGGAGGGTTGCTGACATGGCGACCGAACACCTCCTCCTGGAACTGGAGCAGCTGGACCACCAGGCTGGACAGAGACTTGTTGGTGGGGGGCTCGGCCTGGATGTACTGAGGGGAAGCAACACGGAGAGGCAGTCAGAGCAGGGCCACAAGGAGGGAACAGTGTGTTGATAGGCAGTGGTGGAAGATGTTTTCAGAACTTTAAATTAAGTAAAAGAAGAAACACTACAGTGTAGAGATAGATCAAATTAAATAAGATCAAATGTTTGGTCTGTCAGCAACAGCAATGTAGCTTTGAAAAGGATCACTGTCAAACATACAATTCACGCATAAGTAATGAATTTAAATCTAACTTGAGTAAAACAACGAGAGTTTTAGCATTAATATATTTCCTTAATTACCTCAAGTAAAAATACACATTATGCAGAATATTCCATTTATGAGTAATGTAGCATACATAATGTAGCATACTGGATTATAATGTATTGATGTGTTCATCACCTAATGTTGCAGCTGGTAAAGGGGGATCCCAATGTAATCACTATATCTATTCCTAGGGAATTTAATCCACTATATAAGTGGAAATGTATTGTTGGTTAATGTTTTGCATTACTAATATAAACCTATAAAGTAACTAAAGCTACCAAAGGAATACAGGGGAGTGAACAGTACATTATTTCCCTCTGAAACTTAAGAAGAGCAGTATTAAAATGGAAATACTAGTCAATAGAAGTATCTCTAATTTTCATTTAACTGCAGTGGTGGAGTTAATATTCTGTATATTTCACCATTTGCTCATAAATGCTGTGTGTGGTGAGATGTGCTGAAAAGTGGAGGGAACATTTCAATCTGCATTAATATTATCAATAACATAATGCTTTGTACATTCTAAATGGGGATTTAATGGTAAATATGGCCAGTTCCATCTTTAATAATGCATTGTTTTTAAATGAATAACCCCGTGATTGTATTTAAGAGCCTCAGTTTTGATCCAGATGGGCCACGGCTTCAGTCCGCGCGGCAGCAACATCTGGATCTGAGCTGCATTACCGTTAGCATTAGCTACCTAGCTAGCTAGCAGGCTGGCCGGCTTTACTCATCCCTTTTGCAAAATACCATCCTCACAGAACTGACTGTGAGCTGCCTTTGCATTTGTTCAGCTCCAATAGCCCTAAAGTGATTCCGCCATGCTCGGCCGCATCTGTTGCAGCGGCCGGCTCAGCATCCTTTTGTATCCCGGCTCAAACAGCTGGATGTTCTCCTCCTCTCTTTGTCACTGCCTCTGCCCAATAGGTAAGTGACCACATTTCAGGTGGAAATGTGTAACCTCAGCGTGTGTGGATACAAAACATGCGGTCAGTACCTTTTTGTAATTCTTTCCCAGCCAGACGCGGACATTATCAAACTGAGAAACGGTATCAGACGCTTCGAAATATTTTACATTTGGGCCGCCGTCTTTCTTCCGCACCGCCATCTTTGACTGCAGACAACTGGTCTATGCCGCGCGCCGCCCAGCGGACACGGCGCGGTACTGCAGCGGCCGGCAGGGGTAATAACCATGGTAGTAACAGCCACTGTCCAGCAGGGGACGTGCCTATGTAGAGAATGAGTTTCAAATGACTTCTTCAGGATGCTAGAGATTCAATTCAAAGGTTTTATTGTCATATGCACAAAGCTAGTGTAGAAATGGCAATGAAATTATTTTGACCTGAGCTCCTCCAACAATGCAACATATATAATAAAATACAAAAATAAAAAGTAGTGGAAAACGTCTATAGAATATGATATGTACAAGAACAGAATATGACATTAAATAATGTAAATTAATAAATTAAGATTTGCACACATATTGCAATACGTATTCAGTATATTTACAATTAAGCAAGACCAACAACTCATCAATGTTAAAAAACACGTTCTGCATTTTTTGTACTTTTTACAACACTCACTGCATGTACTTCATGCATAATGTACCTACTTTGGATTCACATTTCAAAATCGACATACATTAAACAAATTCATAGTTATCCATATCTGTATAGATCTAAACTCCTTTAATTTGACTTTATATTGTTCTTTTCATTTTTTTCTTTCTTACATTACTTATTTTATTATCCTTGAGTAAACTCGTACCTTTCCCATCCTGTGTTTCACTCTTATTACTGTTGCTGCTATGACACCAGAATTTGACTATAAGGATCAATAAAGGTGTATCTTATGTTATCTTGTAGTTTTGTATTAAGGGTATTTGTCACTCACACACAAATCCTCTTTTTCATAAAGTTATATTTCCATATATCTATTTATCATCTCATTCCCTTTCGCTTATTAAAATTGTGCAAAAATGTTTGGGACTTAACTTTTCATCAATACTATGTAACACATATGTATATAATGCTACATTTTATTGTCATTTTATGGATATAATTTTGTGATTCTATCATCGTTTATATTACCATCATCATTGTTGCATTAGTGTTAACATGTTGGTGGACCTTATTTTAACTTGCATGTGCTGCTGGGTAGTATAATCTTTATATCAAAAGTGATTGTGATTCACAGTATATGAAAAATACTGAAATGTAAAGGCATCTGTAATTATACCAGTTAGATACTGTAGATGTGGGCAAAAGTATTTAAATTGTTTTATATATAAATAAGTTAAGTGCAAATAGAAAAACATGAAAGTATAGTTGGAGCATAAACGGCCACAAGATGGTAGTAGTGCTGAGCAAAAGAGTAAATCTATTTCTAGCTGCTTATTACATTTTCTCTTTTTTTGTGTGTTTTACTTTGGTAACCTGTTCTTGGCTTGTTCTTCCCATGGTTCTTCCTTGTCCTGCCCAAGATTGACATTCAAATAATGAACAATGTATTAAGAAAAAATAAATAAAAGCATTTGGCTGTGAGATGTTTTGTCTACAATCTAACTTGATGCCCCGTTTGTACTTGCAGAGAAAAAGCGACAACACAGTAAATTCAATGTAATCTAAATAAAACTCACTCAGCATCTTCACAGGGACGTTCTTCAGTGGCAGTGAGTGCACATATTTCAGGTATCTGTCCCTCATATCCTGCTATCAATTACTTATTTTGATTGCATACGACCTGAACTATTTGTTCTCTTCAAAACGTATGAAGTTCATTTCACAATTTTCACAAAATTCAGTTATACAGGAACTATGCGCTATATGTCTTGCTAATTATTTAACATATATTTTGAGTTCAGGAGTCATATTGTGACAGCAGTAGGAGAAGTGATGCCCTCTAGTCTTATAGTGTAGGTGTAATTCCTTAAGTATTTCTGGCTAAATTAAACACATGTTCTTTCTTCATCTGGGTTATAAATACAAAGAATGTGTGATGAAAAAAATAAACAAAGGGATGGGATAATTACCGAATTTGCATTTGACTTGTTAAGTTATATTGTTCTAAACCTGAGGATGTGGGTCCCTATGAAGGGCTCACATATTTAATCTCAGTTGTCTTTGAATGATTAACACGATGATAATTGTCTTGATACAAAACATTGATGTGATTTGTTTTCACTAAAACTTGAATGTTTTTTTAAAGACTGGATCATTTTCTCTTCAGGCCACCAATTAATTCAAATATATCAATGATGGAACTGCACACAATTCATCGACATGTGCAACATTGACCAACTCTGCAGTCTTTCACTTTCAGATCATTATCTCAATTATGTTAAAATGAAAATATTGTCTTGCAGTCATCATTCAGTTTGATATCTGCAAATAATCCTGATTGGGTTAACAGGTACATACCTCCAGTTACTGCAACAGGTAAATAAGGTAAATGACAGACCTAAAAAAAAGGCATGCTCTGGCACAGGCTTATTCTATTATGTCCAAACTAATTAAAATCATACAATGCAATATATTATTAAATATGTATAAAAAAGAAAGTAAAATACCTAATGCAAGCAGTGCCTAGTCTTTAGGGAAATCTATATCATGCATTACATTAAAAGAATATCACAGGATGACACATGTCTCCCCATAATGAGTTACTCCAGAAAAATACTTTGTTTAAAAGTCATAGCAACTAGAAATTCAGCAGACATGAGAGTACAGAAATAACTGCTTTCATGTCTCTGACCTTTTAACTGGCTCTGTTAGTCAGAGGCTCAAATTAACCCTCATTAACAGAGAATAGGTGTGTGTGTGTGTGTGCGCGTGTGTGTGTGTGCGCGCGTGTGTGTGAGTGTGCGTATCTTACATGACCCAGGCTAATATGTTAAAGTCTAGAGACAACATAGAAGAGAGTAGTGCTTCTTGAACTAGTATTCCTCAGGCTGTCTGTGTGTTTGTATTTGCTCATGAGCGTGTTTGTGTGTGTGTGTTGTTCACCCGTCTGTGCTGAAGGAGAGAGAGTGAAGCCTATTGATTATTTTAATCCTCCTATTTGTGAGTCTGTGATCCTCTCTGCTCAGCCGTCCACAGGGGGATTGCTTATGGGGCTGAACGCTTCTCTCCTCAGTCCTCTCTCCCTGTCCAATTAACTTAACGCTGGAATCTGCGAGGAGGGAGCTCTGGGACTCGGAGGGTATAGTGCTGGAGGGGGGTGTGGACACACTGCTGAGATACATCCACCAACACTCTCCAGTCCAACATCTCCCAAACCTCTTGTTTGCACCACACGGCGAGAAGCTCAGCATCCAGAATAGTATTACCTTTCACTTTTAATTAAAGATCCATCTGCTTGCTTGATTCTGGCGAGGTGAGAACACGCTTCAGCCAGTGTTTCATTTTCACAGGGTGGCTTTGCAGAGGATAAAAGCATCACTAGGTGAAGAAGCAAGTCGTACTATGTGAGAGCCACCCTCAAACAAGCTGCTGCAGCTGTAGTTCTGTCACATCAATAAGTATTTGTCCAATTACTGTAAATGTTCAACTGTCTCTTGAAGCCTGGATCCAGAAAACCAAACCTTTGATTTTTGACTGCTTATTTAAAACAATACATTTCATACGTTACATTAATTAGGGGGCATGGTTAGTGGAAAGTCAGCTGTCAACACTGACACAATCTGCACTTTACAACGCTCTGTTTGTACCTGTTGCTATCTGTCTGCTTTGTGAATATGTATTTTTGTTTTGTTTTTATGTTTTTATATATGCTTTTATCATAATATAAGCATCTCTGTTGAATGTTGTTTTACTGATTGTATTTACCTGTTATTTGAAGTGAATTTTTGTTTTTAGGATGACTTTCAACATCTGTAAAGGGACTACAGACGAAAAATAGCCTGTTGGCTAACTTACATGCATTTACAGAAATGTCAATCAATGTGCACTGTCCCTGTCAAATACATATATAAATAAAAATAAATTAAATCTGAAGAACTTTACAGATACGTTCAACTCCTGCTATTGTATACATTATTATTTCATTAGTGCAAAAAAGTTTGTTAACAATTTGAAAAAAGGAAACAAGCACCAGGGGTGTAATGCACATTTACCTGTTGCACAATTCTTTAAAACGGAGGGTTCTGTATATAATAGCAAGAACCCAAGATAAAGTTGGCCCTAAATGTCTATTATACGAAAATGCAGATATTACAATACCAAAAAAACTGGCCCAAATAGACAATTGTCCACGGAGATTAACTGAGTCTGTTTTGTTAGAGAAGAGCTTCATTATTGGCAAAGCATTAATGGCACATTGATAGCAGAATAATGAGTCAAGCAACTGTTATGTTTAGGAACCTTTATTAGATGAATTTATTTTTTGCAGACTTTGAACTCCCGTTAATTGTAACTGCCCGGTTAGATTGGATTGGTTAAAAAATATATATATATGTTTGTTAATGCAGCAACATTAGCGTTAATATAAAGCTACAGATATATTGAACAGCACATTGTGTAGCTAGTAAACACTTACATGTGGGCCCCTTTCTAACTCCCAGGGTGCGCTATTAAAAGATTCCCCGGGGAAACCAACACCTGTTTATCGTTCCGGTAGGGTCACACCAAGCAGCATTGAGAAGGGGGTCGTGAATAAATATTAAATGTATGTAGGCCTATGTATGGTAACTTTCTTGTAGTTTTCTATAATTATGTTAATTAATATATGTTGACTATTTCTGATGTCATGTTTATTCATGTAAGACTTGCGTTTCGTTATTCCATGTCATATGAAGGTAGATATGGTGCAAAATGCGAGAGCGTGTAAAACCTGATGTGAGCACTTGCAGAAAATATCTGAGCTTGTGTGCATACATTTACACTTGTATAACATATCCACGTAACTGTGAACCAAATGTACACTTGTATAAAATATCCACGTAACTGTGAACCAAATTTGAAGTCACAGAAGAAGAAAAAAATGAACTTAGTGATGAAATGTTCACTTGCAGAAAAATACATATTTTTTAAATATATTTTCCATTACAACTGCAACTTGGTTATTACAACCTCTAAAATCAGTCATTACAACTTGACGAATCTGCTCTGTGGCAGTTTAAATCGA